CATTGGTCTGAAAATTTGAAGAAAGTATTCTAATTTGATATTAAAGTATAAAAAACTACACTAAAAACGCTAACATTCGCCATATTTTTTAACAAATGTTTTGTCAAAATTCAACAGTTTTACATTTAAACGACGCCTGGTTTTTATTTCTGTTTTAATCATAAAATAACTAAAACGGATGTTTTAATTTTTTTTTGTTTGTTTTATTTTTTTTAAGGAATTAAGCTTTGTCTTGAGTATTTAAAATTTTTAGAATTCAAATTTTGCACATAATTAAAGTTGAACCCCCGCTTTAATTTAAATTTTCCGAGCGTGTTAATGTTAAAAAGAAAGTTTTAGATAATTTTTCATCATTCATTTATTAATTTTTCATGGCTCTTAGAAGACTGACTATAAACGACTTTGATTCTATTTCCATAACGGAAATAGGAGTACGGTTTAAGTATAATTGGGAGGAAACAACTCGATGGTGCAAAACTCATGGTTTTCTTGCGGATAATATGAATTGCAGTGTATGTGGCGTACCATGTAGACTACAAGTGAAAAATGGTTCAGTTGATCAGTCCATTTGGAGATGCACTTTAAAACGCTGTAAAAGAACTTTCAGCATTAGAAAAGGAAGTTTTTTTGAAAAATCACACCTACAATTGTGGTAAATTTTAGGTTTGACCTATATATGGAGTAGAGGTGCTGGATCAAGCCGAGGATTATCCATAAACGATATACGTCACGAACTGCACATTGTTAGCGACAATACAGTTGTTGATTGGAACCAGTTCTGTCGAGATATTTGTGTCACTTATTTTTTAAATAATCCTGATCCTATTGGTGGGCTAGGCTGCATTGTAGAAATCGACGAATCTGTTTTCTGCAGAAGCGTATCATTCCCCAGCAATCCACTGCTGGGGAATGATACGCTGTAGGGCGTATCATTCCCCAGCAGTGGATTTTTGGTGGCTACGAGCCTGCGATTAAAAAAGGAGTTTTGATACCTGTTGATAATTGCGACGCTGCCACATTATATATATATATATATATATATATATATATATATATATATATATATATATATATATATATATATATATATATATATATATATATATATATATATATATATATATATATATATATATATATATATATCAATATCTATCTATCTATCTATCTATCTATCTATATATATATATATATATATATATATATATATATATATATATATATATATATATATATATATATATATATATATATATATATATATATATATATATATATATATATATATATATATATATATATATATATGTATATATATATATATATAAATATATATATATATATATATATATATATATATATATATATATATATATATATATATATATATATATATATATATATATATATATATATATATATATATATATATATATATATATATAGATAGATAGATAGATAGATAGATAGATATATATAGATATATATTATATATAACACAGACACACAAAATATCATTACTACTTTATAAAACACAAAGTGAAAAGTCTTATTGCAATTTTGATGTCTTTTGTTAAAATTTCCTCATTATACTTGTAACTTAGTTACACTTAATAACTACCCGACGGGCATTTCTTTTTAAAAGTTACGATCTAAATGTACTTTAAATGTCTTTTAAACGTCTTTATGTTTAAAAGACGTTTAAGAGACATTTCAAACACATTTAGAACGTAACTTTTAAAAACAAATGCCCGTCGGGTAAACTCAATTTTCTTTTATTTAAATATTGTATCGATTACTTCCCAGCGGGCACAGACGTCAATCAAACGTCTTGCGGACGTCTTAACTAGGTCGCGACGTCTCAGACCAAATTAGGACGTCCTAAAGACGTCCGGTAAGACGTCTTTGTTAGGACGTCCTTGTGACGTTAATATAAAGACGATATTAGGACTTCCATATTTAGACGTCCTATTGACGTCGCTAAGACCTACATTAGACGTCCTAATTACCTTAGAAATAAGTAGAAAAATTAATATTATCAACTTGGCGCATACAATATTATGCACTAACTCGGTTAATTAAATATGTCTACTTGTTTTGATTGATTGTTTTGTGATTATTAATTTTGTTCAGTTATTTATCGTTTAAAGATACTTTTTAATTTTCTATATTCTATACTCTATGATCTATAAACTATAATCGATACAATATTTAAATAAAAGAAAATTGAGTTTAGTTATTAAGTGTAACTAAGTTACAAGTATAATAAGGAATATATATACATATATATATATATATATATATATATATATATATATATATATATATATATATATATATATATATATATATATATATATATATATATATATATATATATATACATATATATATATATATATATATATATATATATATATATATATATATATATATACATAAATATATATATATATATATATATATATATATATATATATATATATATATATATATATATATATATTTATATTTCTAATATCTTTGCTGTAGAAATAGGTAAATGAATAAATAAATTGTATATATTTTGTTGTTCCTGTGTTGCTTCATTCAATTTTATGATTTTTCAATCATGGGTTGTATAAATAGTTATTAAGATTGTTACTTATGTTGACACCTTGTTACTGTGTTGTTTCATTTAATTTGATTTATACATTATATTATAATGTATATATGATGCATACATATTAATTATATAAGTTGATGTTAATAATCTTCTCTTACTTAGCAAGCATCCGTGCGGCTCTCATTATGTATTTTAAAAATTATTAAAAGACTACTTAAAACAGGTTGCCGGTACTTGGTTTAGACATACAATGGCGTTGGTTAGTTTCCTATTAAAACATGTTTCTCTTGCGTTAGTTAAAACTAGGTTGACTACCACTGCATGTAAACTAGTGAAATTTAATTGCAAGACTTCTGGCGTTAAAAAGATAAACAAGCTAACTAATTCATACAAAGATTTTTTCTTTGTAAGATTTAGTTATTGCACTTTTTAAATTTTCTTTTATAATATTTTAGTTTTTATGATTGTTATACAAATAATTAACGTTTTTATTAATTTTAAATTTGGTGGTTCGTCCCTCTTTTATGATAATAGGAGCTGATTTTTAGATGGATTGCTTATTACGTTTTCAATTAATAACTTCTTAATTTCTTGCTGAGGTAAAGTAAGGTTAATAAAGGGTTAACAAAAAAATTCTTTCACTCAACTTACTGGCTTGCGTAATTACCTCTTGTTCTGATTGCGTAATCGTCATTTCAAAAATTATTATCTTCGTTTAGATTTAAAACGATGTTTAAATGTGTTTTTCCGTTTTAAATTTTACCATTAAACTCTCCTTTAATATGTTTGGATTAATTAGATCTTCAGCAAACTTTTTTGAAACATTTTCTTTGGTATTATTAACTATGCTTTAAAACCTTTAAGATCAGAGTTAAAAAATGGTTTTAAAAAAAAGCCTTTCGTATCATTAAAAAGTTTTGTTAACAATATTTTTATTATAAACTAATCATACAGAGCACAGGTCCAACTAATGGAATAGGCAAAATTTGGAGCCCAATTATACATTATTTAAAAAAGTTTCTTCTTACGTATTAGACTTTCGATAATCTTTTTTTAAAGAATCAAACTTTCAATAGTAAAAGACCAATTATTTTACAAGATTTTTTTTTTAGATGCCGCAAATTCCTGCAATTAAATCAGATTGCAATTTCAATAGCTAATTGAATGTGCAAATTTCGCATAACTTGCGAAACTTGCACCTAATTGAATTGTAATAAATTTTAATAATTGTTCGCATAACTTGCGAAACTTGCAACTAATTGAATGTGCAAATTTGCAAAACTTGCGCTTCGCTCAGCGAAGCGCAAATTTTAAGGAATTTTAACTTCTTATTAATTTTTCAAGGAATTTTAACTTATTATGTCAAAACAGCTTTTACCACTAAAAGTTGCAAAATATTGCCTTAAAATGTTAAGCTATTTGCCATACATAGGAACATGCAAAAAACTATATCTAATGATGCATATTCGTAAAAATACTTTCTTGACTATAGAACGCTGAAAACTCTTTCATCGAGTTTGCTTTAACATATTTCAAGAAGTGAAATTGACCAGGTAGCGATTTACAGAATTGAGAAATAATTAAATTTTACTTACTATAAAAAAATGGTTAGCGCATGAAATAAATTTTTTTCATTCTCTAAGTGAATGACCGAATCATAAATAAAAAACAAACCGAAAAACTTGTATTAATTTATTGAAAATAAATATTCAACTTTTTTAACCTCAACTACATTATTGCGTATAAATTCATGAGCAATCGAGTTCCTTGTCTTGCAGATTTATTTAGTTAGATATAGAATATCTGTTATTAACAGAACTTTTTTCGTCCATTATTTAGATATTTAGCAAGCGATAGTAGCGGTAGGTATAAAATAGAATCAAATAAAAAAAAACAAAAAACTTTTAAACGAAAGCATTGAAGTTATAAACAAAATTTAGATTAACAAAAAATATAAATTTACAGAATTTACTTGGTTAAAAAAGAAAATATTTTTTGTCCATTATTTAGATATTTAGCATATTTAATTTAGCAAGATATTCATAGTTTTTATCTCTAAGTTACGAGTATAAGAGAAAGAAGAATACATGAAAAGATGGGATAAATTATAAGTTTTACATAACAAATTGTTTATATCTTTTCTGAATATAGAAACACGTTAATATATTTAATTACTTGTTTGGTTGTTTAAAAATGATCAGTGTCAAAGGTGTTTTTGGATTCCAATAAGTATAATACAAACCAAATAAACAAACCAATTATTAGCGTCTTCTAACTAATTTAAACCATTTTTTTACAATGACTGTGTAGCAGATCTAATCTAGGAAGTATACGCCTGATTGGTTTTCCATTGCTTGATTATACGTAATGCCAGGGTTCGTTGAACACGAATGAAAACAGCAATTTACCAAATTTTGTCGCCTAATTCGGCATATTGAACTTTTATTTTTCATCATTTTAGTAAAAATATATGCTAAATAAATTACTTTGAAAGGGTGAGATTTTTATTAATACACGAAATAAAACAATAGATATAAATAGTTTTAAAAAAATCAAATAACCGATTTGTTTCAACAAACATTAATTTTGCAGTGCAATTATGCATTCTTTAAGTTGTCTAAATAATATCAAAAAATTTCTTAAACAAACTGTTTTGAATTTTCGTTAAAAAAATGCATTCTTTTTGGGTCTAATGTTTTAGGCTTTGTAAAATGAAGATAGCCCTTGCGGCGGGATTGCTGTTATTAGCGGTAAACTCAGGTAGGTTTAACTTATAATCACTTTTTAAAACAATTAAGTTTATGATTTCGTGAAGCCATTTTAACAATTCATCAGATATTAATATTTTTCCTTGAAGAAGATAATTTTTAATTTATAGTTTATTCAAAGACTACTCCAGTACCTACAAAAAGAGGAACTACTCACCCAACCACTAAACCAACAAAAGCACCCACATGTCCAAAACAAGGTACAATTCCTTAATCTATTAAAATTTATAAATTTTAATGTAGTTAGTTTTTCTGTTAATTATTATTAATAATAAATAATTTGTAAAATTTTAATATATTTTTGTAAATGCTTATGTAAATACTTATATTAAGTATTTTTTTTAAAAGGCAAAGACTTTTACGTCCAAATTAAAGTTTTGGGGCAAGGAGACTGGTCATATGAAATGACAAGAGTTGAAACTCCTGGCTTTCAAGACATGAGAGAAAAACTTTATGACTGCGTATGAATTCTCAGTTTGTTTTGAACTAACATTATTATTATTATTTTTTTTCGCTTTGGTTTATTATAACAAAATCTTTCCTCTCTTTGATTCCAGGCTTTACAAACATATGCAGATTACGATTTTTACCAAGATATGATTTTGCTAAGCTTGGAGTAAGTTTAAGCAATAATTGTTAAAAAGTATTCTCTTAGTTTTTTTCATTATTTGATTGTTTTGTTTTTTGCATTATTGTTAAGTAACTCAACTGGTGGCTTTTTGGCATCATTTGCTATTCGTTTCACTAAAGAAGGAGATGGTCATTTAAATAGACTAACACAAGCAATTCAAGCAGGAAAGTTTTGCGATGTTGAAGTTGCACCAAAATTTGTTCAATGCGGTTAGTGTTTAGTGTAACTGTAGTTGTAGTGTTTAGTGTCACTGAAGTTGTAGCTTTCTGTTTTAAATTAAAGAATTAAACTATAATATAGTATTATGTTAAATTATTACATTATTATGTTAAATAATGTTCTTAATTTTGTTTTGCAGGTTGTATTTAAATTCTCTATGAACTACTTATTAACATTATATTTTCGTTAACAATTTTGTTTTTAGCCGAGCTTGATCAAACTATGCTTTATCCTATGGCTAATTGTCCTGCACCATGTGGAGGAGACTTAAATTGTTGGCCAACTTGTGATGCTACTTGTTGTGGATCCCAAGAGCAAACAATATACATACCTGTTGCCCCAGCACCGCCACCTCCACCTCCACCACCACCTCCTCCACCACCACCACCACCAATGATGTCTATGTGTGCTGCTGGTTGTCCAGAGACTTGTGCTCCCTCATGTTCGCCAACTTGCTGCTTTGTACAAAAAAGATGGATAGAGAAACAAAAAGCCAAGTTTCAAACCAAACAACAGCGATATATTGCTCCGAGACAGAAATAATTTTAAAATTAATAGATTAAATTAACATTATTTCAAAATCTGAAGCTATGGAAGATCAAAAAAAGAGCAAAAAAACATCTTATTAAATTATAAAGCCGAAGATTCAAAAACACTTTCATTATGGAAGACTTTAAGTGTAAAATATGCAATAGGTTTTTTTTTATAAATCTGGCAAACGTTTTTGTGAGTGTAAAAGCTTTTTTAAATTTGTTGTTAAAGAGTAAAGAAGGTTGTTGCAACTTTAAAACTTAAAGAATTTTTTTTAGTTTTGAAATGGGTTAAAATAAAAATAGAAGTGATATTGTGTGAACAAGACAGAAGTTTTAAAAAACATAATAATTACATATCACATGCTGTTTGCCAAATTCCGGTAGAATTTAGATAAATAAATTATACAAATCTTCACTCTATCTTTACTATATTAATATTTTTGTATGAACAACGTGTTGTAATACTTTGTATATGAAAAAATAGCTTTTATTTTCTGCTAAATTGTTTTTTAAAAAATGACGTAAGCTAGAACAATGAAAAATCATCTGCATTTTTTAATACTTTAAACACTTGATAAACCTTATTTGATTATTAACGATATTAGTAGTTGTTTTTATTATTTTATTTATTAGGAACTTTGTAAGAGTGTTATAATCTCAGTAAGGTAGGTTTATTGTTCAAAATCAACCAATAATAATTACTAAAAACGTTTAGAAAAACTTCCAAAAAACATTTCATATTTGCATGGGTCAAAAATGTTTCTTTAAAAATTTTTGTACTTGTAAATTTTTGTGGCTTTTTGGTTTATAAATTATCATAGACTTAATAAACTTATAAAAACATTTTTACCTTTTGGTTTTAATCCAGAACTCTAACCACTACTCCACAGCGTATATGGTTAGAGTTCTGACTTGAATTCGGCGCAAATTCCGATAAGCACCGTAAAACGGAGTGATAAGGAGAGTGAGGTTTATAGGAAAAAACCCAGAAAAGTTTTTTAGATTTCTACAAAGTGACAGGGACAGCTGATGGACCAGTAAAACTTTTTGTCCTGTCAGTTTTGAATAAGGACCATACCCGCGGCATTTGTTTTTAAAAGTTACGCTCTAAATGTCTTTCAAACGTTTTTTAAACGTCTTTTAAACGTTCTTTACGTGAGAATGTTTAAAAGACGTTTAAAAGACATTTAAATTACATTTAGAACGTAACTTTTAAAAACGAATGCCCACTGGGTATAGTTAGCAACATTTGGATTTGGTTGCGACATTATCTACTGCAGTAAATGTTAATAAATAAACTCTAAAATGTGAAAAAAAGTTAAAAAAAAGTTTTTTTAGCACAAACAAAAACTCTAAAGGTGTAATTGTGAAACTTTAACACATTTTTGCATAAGCATCTTGATGAAGCTATGAGAAATTACAGAACATACACCTAACGTTAACTAATATATTTAGTTGATTTCAAATTTTCAGAAAAAAATATCCAATATTAGGGGGAAATTGTATCTTGGCTAAGTTAATCAATTTAGTGCTCGGAAGAATGCCTTGGAACATTTCTGCTCCCTACAAAATACAGGGATGGGTAGCACTTTGGTTTTTCTCAAGTTGAGGAAAAATTACAATTTAGCTATTCTTAAATTATACAGTGTGCAATTTTTTTTAAATTTCGCTTTACATTAAAATGTCACAGTACAATTATATATGCCGTATATATCGTGTTTCAATTAAAATATTCAAATTTAAATAGTTAGCATAATTAAAATAAGAAGACACTCACATATATACCAATATAAATATAAGCATATGTACACTTACAAATGTATAGATGCGCACATACATAAACTGCTTACAATTAAACATAAACTACCCAGACAGCAAGGATATAGTGGTCACTCACTGGTCCTGTATAGGCTGCCGCGCTGGACCAGCTTTAGCTGCCAACGCTGGCAAAGCTCCGTTTTGCCCTAAGGATTTTTCAAGTACCAGCGATGGCAAAATAGCGGCTAGCCAGTATGGGAAAAGAACTGGTAGAACAACGATTAGCCATTTTTACATACATTTTTTACATACGTATTTTACCGTACCATCGTGGTTTTGTCTTTGTTAACTAACTGGATCGCGCATGGGATTGTTATGGATTTTCATCGGGCAATCCTATTGAAAGTCCCTATATTTTTCTTTAGTCTTCTAAATTATTTAGAGTTGTTTTTAGCATAACCCGACGGGCATTTGTTTTTAAAAGTTACGTTCTAAATGTGTTTTAAATGTCTTTTAAACGTCTTTTAAACATTAATGTTTAAAAGACGTTAAAAAGACATTTAAAATACATTTAGATCGTAACTTTTAAAAAGAAATGCCCATCGGGAATCGACTGTAATTTTTTGGTTTAAAATTAGCGTATTTTTCATTAGTAAAAGGACAATAAAATGTATTAAACACATGATTATTGACAATTTTAATTATTATGAATAAATTTGAAAAACAGGCTTAAATTTTAAAATACCGTAAACCGGGGTTTTAAAATGGTTACTTTGGGCTACTTTGAAAAGCATGGTAACTTTTAATACAAATATTTTTTTTTCTCAAGTTATAATTATGGCAAGAATTTATATGAAATTGTTTAAATCTTAAACATTAAAGTTTTAAAAATAGTTTATATTTTGATTATTTAAAGTTTTACTTTGTTTATTGGTTGGTATTGTTCCCCAAAAATCGAATTAAATAATTCGGATATTCTTCTCAAAAAAATTAGTCAGAATACTTCGTACACTGCCTCAGTTAGTGTAGCAGCTTGTTGTCTAAGTTGTATAATTTTTGTTTATAAATTTATTAAGCATGTAAAATCTAAAGAAGTTTGTTTGCCTACTATAATTATGTTCCATTGCTGCAGCATAACATACTTTGTTGTATACATTTTTTCGCATACGGGTAACTTTGAATAACGTTCAAAGAAACTCCACTACATAAATAGTCAAAAACATTAAACAATTTTAAAATTTACTTTGTCATACATGTATTGTATATAATATATTAAGTATTGTACATAATATTATTGTGATTAAAAATTAAAATATCATGTGTATAAACAGTAAGTCACTCATACACACGTAGTTTGTGTGTGTGTTTATGAATGTATATGTGTGTGTGTCTTTGTGTGTATGTGTGTATATGTGTGTCTTTGTGTGTATATGTTAGGTACGCGAAAATTGCGATTTACGGAACCGATTTTTATGCTAAAATATTAGTCCTCTATTTTTTAACTCTTTTTTAGGCAGCATGAGGCAGATGTAATTTTATGGGGTTTCTTTTTAGAAATATATATGCACATTGATACTTTTTTGAAAAAAGAAAAGTTAATCTTGATTTATATATGACATTTATGTATGGTTACTTAACATTTTTGTGGATTATTTTGCTCCTGAAAATTTGGTTGATGTTCTCACATAAATATTTAGTTGTGGAAATGTTGATCCCTTCTTTTTATTATTTAGATAATTTTCTACATGCATTTTCTATGCATATACCAAATTTCAACTAAAAATAAAGCTCCGCAGATAGTTTAATTAGTGTTATACTAATTTTTTTATTTTTGCAAAATTATATCTCTAGCTTTTAAGTTATAAACAAACTAAAAACACTATAAATATAAATTTATTTAAATAAATTTTATTGGAAATAAATGAAATTAAAACAATTTTATTGCATATATTGATAGATTTTTTTATTATCTTTACACCGATACACAGTGGGCCAGAATCCCATATTTTTGGAAAAAAGTCAAAACTTTTTTTCCTTTCATCCATTGGCCTCAAAATTTGGTATATAAATTAACTGGATGATTATAATCTAAATGAGCATTTTTTTGTGTGTGGTTGCCAAGGCAACCCCATTTGCATAGCACCACTTATTTATGCTTAGTTCCTAAAGGTTATTTTTAGCCAGTTGTTTCTAAACTTGGTATGCAAATTAATTGGATGATTCTAATAGGATTGAGCAAAACTAATTGTTTTAATTTACAGTCACACTTTCATTTAGGTATAAATTATAAAGATACAAAAAATACATTTATAAACTAATATCATCTGTGGATGACCTCAATAAGTCAATAACTCCAGCTGGTAAGTTTTTTGTTTTGGTGTGACTTCCTGCTGTCTTTCTCAAAGATGCAATAATTAGATCAGATGTACACAGAAGATTTAACAAATCTTGGTTAGTTTTCACACGAGATGATTTTCTTGCAAAATGTTCACGATAGTTTTGAAAGTCTTTATTGCATGCCTATTGAGCTTCTTCAGAATACATACCAATGGGTAATGCTAAACTTTTAACAATTTCAGAACCATGAATTTAAATTTTGTGGAGGGATTGTGGCATATAGTACCAAGGATAATGATGAACATAAAGTCGAGCTGTTTTTAAACAGAAAGCCTCAAATTTATCAGTGTCAATATTTAAACCACATGAGGTTGTTGCCAATATAATATACAAATTTAGAATCAGTTCAACATCAATATATAAAATTTCTGCAAACTTTTCCGCATTTTGAAATGCTCTTCGAGCCGTATTTCCATCATTTGATGTTCCACTACCACCAGATTTCGGAATATCAACTATCAAGCCCATTTCATCTTTAAATCTGTTTTGAATTTGTTGTTTCAGAGCCTTTACTTTAGATTTATCTTCTGCTATTCTTGTCTGCCACTTTTTCAAAGTTATTTTATATCCAATATATAATAATCATTCAAAAAAACGTATCCAAGCATGTAAGGATGATAAACCAAACGAATAACTGCCTGTCATACCCTTTTTCAAACAACTTTTTCAATATCATTCATTGCTTTGGGACTTACCCCACATATAGTACAGCATTGACTTGAATTTGTTACATCTTAAAGAGCAGTATGAATTTTTCCATCAATCATAGTAATTTGTATTATATGATGTATTTTGATTTTTTTATTATTTATATCAACTTCAGTACCTTGCAAGTTCTCAACCCTAATGAGATCCTATTCTGATTTAGAAACTGCTGCCGTTTCTATGTCAAATGAAAACGCACTGGTCTACAGTACATTGTTGATGATGGTCGTGGATTTTGCCAAGCCGTTTCCATTTAAAAAACCACACAAGTTCAATGGCACTAGGCAAGTAATAAAAAGTACCTGCTCATTGTTTAAATTTCTTATTACTATTCCTTGCGATAATTTTTTATATATAGACTGTCCTGTAGCACCATCAAAGCCTTTTTTGTATCTCAGAGAAAGACTATCTAAAGTGCCTTCAGTGCTAAGGACATCATACTTTGTCTTGCATATTCTATTTGCTGTATGATTGACCAAAGCTTGCAGTTTTATTTCAGCTAAAAAGTCTGAGACAGATATATCTGCAGGATAGCATAACAGCTTTGCATCCCGAACATCATTATATGGAGGATATATATCAACTTCCATATTTCAACCGCTTGAGTACGAATAATTTGGTAGGAAGTTTTTGTCAATCTAG